GTTATTGCCACGATAGTTAATGATTTGACGATCGTCAAGTCAAGTGGCGAAAATTTCTAAGGACGATCGTAACACCGGAAAATTAAAGTTTATTTTATCACTGTAACGTCTTTATACCTAATAGCAACACTAGTATACATTTTTGGTTTTAAGAATTTCGACAGTCAACACTCCCAAGTTTGCTGCACTTGGAGAGTGCGCATTTAGTGAGTTGTAGCTGTATATATAGTTGTTGGATGAATTGCGTGATGCGCTGTACAAACCTTAAACGTTAACAATGACATTAAAAAAAAATTTCAAATTTGGAAATATTATTTCTAATTTGCATACACTAGCCACAAAGAATATGCGGAAACCACCCTCCAGGTCAGCGTACAGATTTCTGCAAGGTTAGTGTACAGATCTTTGCTACATATAGTAATTGCCCAAACGACTGATTTTTCTATGCATTTTCATGCATATGCGACGCCAAATCTTATTTACTACAATTCTACTTATTGTAGAACACTAAAAGAAGATAGTTATTTAAATCTAGAAAATTCCATGTATCCTCTCGATGCAGCAAAACATACCATGTTCCCGTTAAAAATTTTATAGGTGTTAATTGCTGTAAATTCGTATTTTGAGTTATATACTGACTAATATTTGAAATACTTTTATTAAAATCAATGTGATATGTAATTATGGTTTAAACGTGATCACATTTATTAAGGACTGAACAATTAGAACATAATGAATTCAATTAAGTTTTGTTCGAATGTCTTTCAGCATTTCTAGTTTGAAATTTGTTTAATTGGTCGAGCAAGCCAACTAGACTATGCAGCGTCTCATTCATACTGTGGCATACGTATTGTGGCTTGCATGTTGCGCCATACATGCTGTGGCGTCTTTAAACTTTAATAGAAACATTGACAGATCTATAAGCTTCGATGCATGTTCTAATATTCCAGAGAACAATAACAGGCCATAACCATATTGCTTTGTGAAGTGAAATCGTATAACCTATAGAACGTACGGACCTATCAACTATGTACGTACATATTTACATACACACATGCATGATGTGTACAAATTTAGTACATGTCATTGTCTCCAAAAAGAAGTATTTTCATATATAATGCTGGCCAAAATTATATAAATTTGCATAGTGTTTGGCCAAAGAAATACTGAAACGGTAAGAAATACTGAAACGGTAATGATTCTCATACGCTTCTATTGGAATGTCAAATGGTTAACAAGTAATTCCGGAAAAAAAAACGATACTAAATAAAGTCGAATGACGAGATCTTACTGCAATAGTTTGTCTGCGTTATTGCCAAAAACAAAACATTAAAATTAAACCATTATTTGAATTGTTGCACAATTATACGCAGTTTTTGAATAACCAAATTTATGTAATTTTTTTTTAAATTAAAACAATTAATATACAATGGAAAATTTTTTATATAAGGCGATGCTTCCTCGATCCTTGAATTATCATTATCAAAAAGTACAAAATTTAAACGGAAGAAATAAATAAACTCAATTAAAAATGGATACTTCCGAAAAGATGGGAATCTCTAAATCTTGTTATGAAAATTCATTTGATAATGAATTGATCAGTAGTCCACTCCCGCCCTATCAATTAACAATAGAAATCGAGGAACTTGTTTCTCCCCCAAAAAATTCTCGCAAGGCAAAAAAATTTCAAAAAAATCCACACTCTACGTCACCTCCAAGGCCACAAAACGACTTCATCTTATTTCGTCGCGATTTTTACGCAAAATTGAGAGTAGAAGGAATAAAAATGAAGAATGGAGATATCTCTCGTTTAGTATCTGAAGTGTGGAACCAACAACCGAACGAAGTTCGTCGATATTTTAAACTCCTCGAAAAGTTGGCGATAGAAAGACATAATGAAGCATTTCCGGATTATAAATATTCCCCGAAAAAAAGCAATGCAAAAAAACCAAAATCCAAAAATACACGTCAAATGAATAACAATATTGAACGATTCCCAGCGATTTACAACGAAATGAGTGAAGAGACATTAGAAGAACCAAAAACAACTTTGGAAATTCCTTTAAATGAAAATACTAATGTCATTGATCCTAATTATGTAGAATCAACAAATTTTGAAGGATTAATTTTACCTGATTTCCTATTATATCCCGAACCTTTATATACTGAAAATTCCGAACCATTATATATTGAATATCCCGAACCATTATTATATACCGAATATTCCGAACCTGAGACGACCGAATACGAATATTCAGAATTTGAGACGACCGAATATGAATATTCCGGATTTGAGACGACCGAATATGAATATTCTGGATTTGAGATTACAAGCAATTCTGAACAAGGAATCGATCAAATTAATGATCAAGAAAGCTTTGATGAAATCTTTAATGAAATCATTAATCCAGCAATCCTTAATGAAGGGAATGATTCCTATCTGCAATTTTAACGCCAACTTTAACACCAACTTTAACGCCAACTTTCAAGTTTCTTTTCCTTTAAAACATCGGCCAATTATTTTTATGCTCTCAATATATCTGTATGATTGTATCTAAGAACTTAAGATTGGTTCCAATAATTTATGTTTTCTCATTTAGTACTACTATTTATGGTTTTTATGAACTTTTATGCGACGATTATGTTTAATATGGTATAATAAGATATGCAATACGGTATGAAAAAAATATATTATGACATAAGAAAATATATTATGGCATAAGAAAATATATATTATGACATAAAAATACATATTATGACGTAAAAAAAAATATATTATGACATAAAAATACATATTATGACGTAAAAAAATATATATTATGACGTAAAAAAATATATATTATGACATGACAAAAAAATAAGAATATTCTAGGGTCAATATAAGAGAAATAAGACTATGCCATAAAAAAAAATGTATATATATGATTTCGGTGTTTTAAAGGATTTTCAATAGTACTAGTATGTAGCCGCTAACGGCTCTTTTATATCTTTTACAATCTTTAAATTTATTATATAACATTTTTTATTGGACAAATTTTATTATATAACTTTTTTTTTTATTGAACAATTTTTATTATAACAATTTTTATTGGACAATTTTATTAGTTATCTTTCTACTATTGTATTTACTAAACTATATCAATTTTATTAAAATAAAGATTTGTATACTTTTTTAAAATCATCACTACTATTGCTAATTGGTTGCTTATATTATCATTGTTATCACTGTTGCTACTATTATTGTTGTTGGTGCCTATTTGTCATTAATTTCATTGGCACATTATTTATTATTCATACAATTCGACCGTATCACGTGAACCAAAATTTGAAATTTATTGTGACATCATTTGGAAGAATTCGATAAACTATGAATTATTTTTGAATTATTTTTTCTATCTAATTTAGAAAATCTTAATCGAGATTTACCATCAACGTTAACTATCATTTAAACATTATTTATGACTTTCACGTTTACGTTATGGTCGTTTTTTTTAACCATATTTTTTTAAAGAATTTATTAATTATTTTATTACTTGCAAGTAAAACTAATGATTATAATTGATACTCAAGAATATAACATTCATGCCCATGAACGTAGTAAATAAAGGTATATATTATTGGATAATAAACTGCCGGCAAAATCTTATTGGATAATACGCATTGTATCATTTCTGTCACGAGTAGAAAGATGTCACGAGTAGAAAATAAAATTTCCAAAATAAGATAAAACTGCGGCATAATCCCGTGATTAAGAAATTCAACCTCCACAAACATTGAATCTTCAGTTATAGCATATGGGGCTGTCGGCTGAGTCATAGTAACAAACAAATATCTGAGAAACTATTATTTGTGAAGAAGGCTGAGGTTGAAGAAAGAATAGAATGTAATAATTAGTTGCTGCAATTTTTGTAACAAAATAATAGAACGAAAGCTCTGTTTAGACAAATTTACTTAATTAAAAACCTCATACTGACGATAGAATAATATAACGTAATGTTAGTTAACAAAATAAAGTGTTTCAAAAGTTTGAAAAAGAATTCAGTCCAAGTGTATAGTCTGCTCTAATTTAATTTATTATAAAACAATTTAATAAAACCCTTAATATGCTTAAAATATATAAGGATCATAGAACGTTCCTAATTTTAAGGTTTATTATAGCATGCAATTTATTATCTAAGAAGATATAATTTATGATTTTTTCTAAATTTATTTATAATAATAGAGAATTTATTTAAGCCTTAACATATAAATCACTCAATTCGTGGTATTCTATATAGGATAACTTTCTTATAATTGGTTAATTACATGAAATTGATAACTGACAATACTTCATGATTATCGCTGTTTGCATATTGATGCAACCCATGATAAAATTTGTAGATTGCTGCATACCCGATTGTTCGATTGAAATCGATTGTACTAAATGTACGTGATTGTATGCGATCTCTCAGCAACCACCTGATCAAATTCGACGAAATTTTTTTATTCGAATTTTATGAATCTATAGAATTCAAATAAAAAAAATTCATCAAATTTGATCAGATAGTTGCT